TTGACACAAACTACTTCTCTGACCTACCACCCCCAGGCCCACCTTCCACACACAGTTGGAGAGTCAGTAAAGTGCTGGAGAAAAATCAGATTAAATTCACTTCAGAACCGTAGTGAGAAAGGGGGCTCTTTTTGTCAAACAGAACAACACCTCGAGGAGTTTGGTGCAACTGCTGAAGGAACTGGGTAGAAGAAATCAGAAGCAAGAGAAGGAATTGCATTGGGAATGGCAGCGACCACCTGAGGACTGCTTATCCCCAACACCACACGTGAAGGTAGCAGAAGTCTGATCTGCCAGTCCCATTTAGCAGCTACAATACAAAGTAGGAAAATGAAAAAGCCACAGAACCCCAAAACAAACATACCAGCAGCTTCAAGTTCATCTCACCTTTATTTCTACAGGATCGTTCCAGTGGAAATTGATAGGAGCCACACCAGGTACGTAGAAAGAATCCGTACCATGAAGCCACAACAGCAAGAGCAGCAAATACCTTAGCCTTTCCTGCAAAAAGAAGAAATATTAAACTACAAAACAAACACCAGAACATCATTGGAGGAGGGCAACACCACTGAAAGCACTCATCCCAGACATTACAGAGTCCTTACAGTTGAGCAGTGAAACATCAGTTAATTCAGGAAAGCTGTTCACTTTGGTCCATGGCTCTCATTGAGCACCTTCCACTCCCTGCTTGTTCACATGCAATGAGGAGAGTGTTGGCTTTGCTCAGCTACAACACACCCATGTTTATCTGTGCTATGATTTGCCTAGAGATTTACCAGAGAGTTAACATTCACCCTGATCTGGACTTCCCTCAGCTCTGTGGGTCAGGAGCTGCCCTGCACCATTACCTGCTGCACTCACATCACAGCTCACAGCACCCAAAGGGGCTGCTCACATCTACTCTCTTTCCAACTACAAACACTGTGATACAGTTTAATCTTTAAACTTGAAATGTACATAAAATATAAGTGCCAGAGACTTGCCCAAAATGTGTTAAAACTAAGTTGCCAGCTACTATCTACCCCCATCACCACCCAAAGGAAGATTTCCAGACTTATCCCAACTTCAGCTTACTGTAGTTACAGCAGGCAAAGATCATCATCTGGAAAGCAACTGGGAAATGCTTCTTAGATGTGAACAGTACCCTGACATGGGATAGGTTTCATGTACTTCACTAAGTTTTGCCTTCTCTGATCATGTAAAGGAGCGCTGTGACTCTGAGCCATTAGGAAGAGATGTCCCAGGCAGGTGAGCACCAGAGGGAGTGCTGTGCCTCACAGCAGCCAGCTGCCTGTAGCACTTCTTGCTCCATTTGTCACCAAAATGCCTGTCATCCACTGCACAATATTACTTAGCAAAACCTAAGCAAAATCGAAACCACATTGGTGCAATCCTTGTCATGACAGGCTTGCAAGATGACAAAAATAAGGATAGAGCCTTTGGAAGGCACTCAGGAGACACACAAGCACATAGAAGATGCATTGGTGATGGATATGGATGGTGATGACTCAAGACAGAACTGGACAACAGAGAAGATGAGAGGGGGACTATAGAAAGCATTGCCAGGAAAAATTATTTGGGGCAAGAAGTGGGAGCACCACCACGCAGCAGGAGGGATGGAGTTTCCAAAGTGACACTGGAGGGAAGTACGTGTGATGCCTGAAGCCTTCCTCATTAGGATCCTTGTTGCCATACTCATAGATCAGCCTCCCTCCCCTCCAGCTGAAGAGAGCAGCTTATCAAGCCAACACAGATATGCACCAAAACATCTGCACAACTCCTGGGCCTGGCCAGGCCATCTCTCATCTAGAAGATACCTGCAGGACTGAACACCACCTGTGCAAGATCAAAATGAGCAGGACAGAGCCCTGTTTATCACACCCTCTGGTGAGGCACAAGCTTCCAGAAAAAGGAGATCCTGTTTTCATGGCCTCTACCACGAAGCTCTGAGCATTTCAACTCTATGGTTCTGAGCATTTCAACACACACACATAGAAATCACTCTGGGGACAGCCTAGCATCTAATGTGCCAGGTAAGCCCACAGCAAAGCAGGAAGTAGTGCAACACAGATGCACAACTCCAGACCAAGCCAGCCCAGGCCATCAGCACGGGGAGCAGCTATGGTGCTGCAGGCAGGAGCCCAGCACTGAGCAAGGCACAGAGCCTCAGCAGAGACACAGACACGAAACTCAGCACCTGAAGCCTGTGGGACTCCTAATGAAAGGATCTGAAAACATGACAATCCATTCCTGTAGTTAACCTTAGAGTGTACCACTTATCTGTAAAAGTAAATTCACTGGAATCTTTCTTGCAGTCATTCTAACACTGTATTTTTTGTCCCATGCACAGTGTAACACTGTAATGTGATGGAAAGTAAAGCCACAGTAGTGGGGTTTGTGACTGCAGCAAATAAGGACAAGCCCAAAGGCAACAGTTGCAGATCCAGAAATGAAGGAAAGAAACTGCTTACCTTTAAAACACCTCAGGTATGCAGGGATCTCCAGTGAGATCCCCTCACCTCCACTGCCAGCCCTTAAATGAAGGCTGGAAGGGGTGGATCCTGGCTCCAGCCCTTCCATCACTCAGATGCACTGCTTACACCTGAGCTCCCCCGGGTTGGCCCTCCTTCCCACCAGGTGCTCCATCACTGCTTCAGGCCACAGCTGAGCATCTCCACTACACACAGCCACAAACAGAAACTCACACAAAAACCCTCTCCAAGAAGGTGTTCCTGGATAACTGCCACTAGGCTTAATGCATGCAAGCAATTCCAGGACACTGTTTCTTTGATTTATCTCATCTAGAAAGACTTCAACAACAGTGCCTTTTCTTCTGCGAATTCTCAAAGGATTTTTGTGAAGGACCCTTCAAGCAACAGCAATTCCCAGCACCCCGCGAGCACCACAACACAGCTCTTTATGTATTGGCTCCCAGTTCAACTACAGACTTATGAACATAGTGCAGTATTTTCTTAAAGGGAAGAAAACATGAGAACAGCAGAGAAATGAGAACAGCATATGAATGAGATGAAGGGAACATGAAAAAAAATGGCAGAAGATACTTTGAACAGCAGAAATCAAGAGCTTTCAATCTTCACTTTTGAAGAAAGCCAGGGAGAGCAGCCTATGCCTGGCCATTTGTCCAACCATTTGTCCAGCCAGATGCACAAAGCCCTGATCCCAATCACCACGTTGTTCCAAAGTTTCAGTGACTACAACCTTTAAACACGCTGTCAGAAAGGGAAAACTGAACACAGTCCTCTAACATGCAGTGAGAAACAAAACCGCACACACAACAAAGCGCACCTGGGCTCTCCCCACAGGCACTCACCAGGCAGCCACAGGATGAGCCCAGCATTACCAGCACCTGCTCACCACCCTCCCTTGCTCATTGTGTCCCTGACAACTGCTTGTACAGCCTCACCCTTATCACACTCCTGCCCAGCCCATGCTCATACCCAGAGGAGTCACTGAAAGCCTTTAGAAAGGAGACAAGCACTGCATTCACATCGATCTCAGAGAGCCCCTTTAAGAACAGGAGAGCTGTCAGCCGCCTTCACTGCCTTTCACAGGAGGCTACAAGGAAATGCTCCATCCCTGGAGGCATCCAAGGCCGGGTTGGATAGGGCCCTGGGCAGCACGATCTAGTGCTGGCAACCAGCCCAGGGCAGGGGGTTGGAACTGGATGATCATTAAGGTCCCCTCCAACATAAGCCATTCTATGAAACCCCCAGGAGAACCATCTCCAGCACTCCTCATTGCCTGGGAGGCAGCCAGCAGATCACGGCAGCGTTAAAGCCAAATGAATGAAAGCCTCCACTACCCACACAGCGTCCACCTGAGAACGGACTCAGTGCAGCACAGAGCCTCTGTGCACAGCCCTGCTCCTGCAGAGCTTCACCGTCCCTCCGTGCTGGTGGGGAGGAAGGCTGCTGTCATGAAAGACCAGTGAGTGCCTCACCATGTGTTTCGTCCTGCACACGGGGGCCCTGATGCTCACCCACATCGGCGGATTCCCACCGGGAACAGCTCCGACGACTTAAGGAGTAATTCAATCGTTAAAATATAGCCACAAAATTGGGAAGGAAGGGATGGAAGGGAAGGAAGGATTCAGCCAGCATCAGCCACTGTCGAGCACTTAGGATGACACACACGACCGCCCCAGGGCAGCCCGCTGCCGGGACGGCACCGGACCGCAGGATTGGAGCACCGGACCCCGGCTCGGCCCGTGGAGAAGCGCCCGCCGCCCTCTGCCCTCCGCAGCCGACATCGCCCCGCAGGGCCGCAGGGCCACCCCGGAAGGAAGCGAGGCCGCAGCCGGACTCGGAGCACCGCCCCCGGCCCGGAGAGCACACGAGGCCGAGGAGCAGTCAGACTACGAGCGATGCAGGTGCCGCTCCCGCCCGACCCAGGCCCGCCGGACGGAACCCGCGCGGCCGCCCCGCACTCACCACCATCGCCGCCGCCGCCGCCATCTTGGATCCACGTGTCGGCGCCTACGTTACCGGAAGCGGCGCGCGGTTGGCTGCGGGGCTCGTCGCCATGGCGACGGCGGCCTCGGCGCCCTGCGGCCGACTGCGCTCGGCCCGGCCTGGAGCTTCCTCCGACAGCAGCGCGGAACCCGGCGCAGCGATGTCGACGGCGGGGCTGGGACCACCAATAAGGCGTTAGCGGCTCGGAAGCCTCGGGATGGCGCAAGGGTTGAGGGCGAGCTGCGCCGCCATCTTTACTGAGGGCAGCGGCCTTCGCGCTGAGGACGGGCTCGACGCCGCGGGCGCCATCTTGTGTGAGGGCATTGACGCCTTCGTCTCTCCCCGGCGTAGTCGTGCCATGGCGGGGCTGAGGCCATCCCTCAGCCCCTCCGGGGCTGAGGCCGGGGCGGCGCTGCTTCTGTTTGAGCCCGGTTGTACGGAACTGAGGTGGTGCCACGGGCAGGGCTGCAGCTGTGGGGCGGCGTAAATATTTTATTGACCGCAAACAGAAGCATCTCAAAGCAGATATTAAAGCCAGCAGACAGCGGTGTTTGTTTATGTGAGGAGAAAACAAAAATCGCTGTCTCTCTGTTGTAAGAAGTAGGGGACAAAAATTCTGTATAAAAATAATTCTCCCTCTCTTCTTCCCCAGATGCCACATCATTAAATACTAAGAAAACCAGAAGGACAAACTGAGTACGTAAGGAACATTCATTGCTCATCGTGCAAAGCCCTGCAGTGCTGCTGATGCAGCCATGGTCCCAGAGAGGCTCAGTGATCCTCGTGGGTCCCTTCCATCCCACCGTGTTCTGTGGTTCTGTGATTGTATGATATCACTGAGGTGCAATCAGCCCCACTGTGTGTGCATTCCTCACCCTCAGCAGATGAAGCACCACAAGAAGTGTGTGGGACACCCAAAGGGAGCTGTGGTTCATGTGACACCTCCGCAGGGCCCCGGGGCAGGGATGAGATGAAGTGCTGCAGTGCTGTACCCAGAGGCTCAGATGAACTGCTCCACTTTTGCCCCACCAGGCCACATCTGGAAGCCATCATTTTCTGTACCAGGCTGGCAGATGAGGAAGGCGCACACTGAACACCACAAGTGGGACAGGGAGGAGCAGGGTGCGTGTGGTGCTGCTGGGATGGCGTGCACAGTGCTCTCCGCTGCCTTCACCACGCTTTCTGCTCTATGCCTGCTGCTGGTACTGGCCCTCTGTCGCAGTAAAGAAATCCTCCAGAATGCTCTGCATGTACTCAAAGGTGGGACGGTCCTCTGGTTTGGTTCTCCAGCATCTCATCATGACATCGTAGAGCTCCTCAGGACAGCTTTCCGTACGGGGCATGCGGTAGCCGTGCTCCAGAGCTCTGATCACCTCCGCGCTCGACATCCCTACAGAAGTGGGGCAGAACATTTCAGGGGCTGTCACTGATTTCTTTAAAAAGGAACAAACACAAAACCCAGCCCTCCTTTGGGCAGCATCACTGTGGAGAGAAAGGACAGGTTGGAGGAGCAGGGGAAGGGGAGATCCTGCTCTGCTTCAGGAAAACGTGCTGACAACTGTGATGCCACATCCCCTGTTGCCTGCAGTTTTGTACCCCATTTGAGCAGATCAGATGGGAATTGTAATTGTTTTGTATGAATTCCCAGGAAATAAAGGCTGTGTTTTTCCATCTGCTGAAGCTTTAATAAGCCATTCTTCCCTGTGTCACTGATAAAAACAAGGTAGTGTCGATGGCAGAGTGGGTCCATTCCCCACAGCACTTTCAGCCACGCCTTAGCCTTCGTGGATGGATTGTGGCAATGGTTACTTTCCAGGTACAGTCATTTTCCAATGAAAAAAGGTACCAGAGAAGCAATTAGGGTATAATAGAGAACACTTCCTAATGATGACAATATACAGATTGTTTGAGCTTTCCCAAAAACACCTGGCCCAGCCATCAGCCCTGAACTGATGTTCTGCTTCCAAACAATCTTTTCTGCAGGAAGCAGAGAAACAAGGGTAAGTGCTATAAACACAAATAATTGTGGCCTTGCAATCTCTGAGCTCAGTTTCCAGTGTGAGATTCAAATTTCTTGCCATTGCCTCTGTTTTTGGTGATGGAACTTCATGAAGAAAAAAAAAATCCTATAGAGGGAGCCCAGAACACGGAGCACATCTTTTGAACTGGGTTAGAACAGGAATTTCTGTACCTGGGTATGGGATGCGCCCATAGGTAATGATCTCAGTCAGGAGGATCCCAAAGGACCAGACATCAGATTTTATAGTGAAAGATCCATAGTTGATTGCTTCCGGCGCAGTCCATTTAATGGGAAATTTGGCACCTGGACCAAGAGATCCAACAAGAAACATGAGCTAAAACCCAAATGTTGAGAATTTGGTAGTGAAATACGGGGAAGAAGAAACAAACAGAAGAGGAAGATACGGAGCAATGCAAATGAGAGGGGCTTCCACTCATCTGTTCATTGCAGTATGTCTCTCCCCGGGTCCCTGTTGCCAAGGCTGCACAGCGATGAGGGGCTCTTAGGGAATCCTGCAGCCCTTCCCCATCCCAGGCAGGGGCCAGGCTCCCACAGCAGCTCTCGTACCTTCCCGAGCTACGTACTCATTGTCTTCAATGATCCTGGCCAGCCCAAAGTCTGCAATCTTGCACACCAGCATCGCTGACACGAGAATGTTGGCAGCTCTCAAGTCTCTGTGAATGTAGTTCCTCTTCTCAATAAAAGCCATTCCTTCTGCAATCTGCAAAAAGCAGAAAGGCAGAAACGCGGGTCTGTTTGAAATAACACAAAACCCATAGCTAGGAATGGAAAAAGCTCAACTGATTTTGTGAGCACATAGAAAAAAAGGGCAGGGGGGGCTGAGCTGTGGCAAGGCATGGGACATCTATGGTGGAAATGTGATCGAGGGCTGCGTGGGAAGCACTGCAGTGTAGGATGGTGAAAGAGGTTGGGGTGACCCAGCACTGCTCATTTATGGTTGGGTGAGAACAGCAGCAAAGAACTGGTGTCCAGGGAGCTGGCAGGCTCAGGAGCAAATGTCTGGGGATGCCCACAGGCCGAAGTGTGGCAGCTGCATCCATAGCCATGTAAATGTGCCGAGGAGTAAATCATTCTCCATTATAAGCAGACATGAGAACAGCCTCCAAATGCACAAACAGCTGCTGGAGAGAAGCGCGATCTCCTCTTTGCTAAAAGGGCACCAAATGGAGAGGGCTTCTCTGGGGAGAATAAAAAGCCCTGAGATGGGTCTCTGGAGAGGGCTGTGAAGTCAGCCTGGAGGCAGGATAGTGCTGCTGACCCCAAAGATGGCCCCAGCTCCATCTTCTGAGCTCTCTATGCTTGGTGACTGCACAGCTGTTGGCTCCTGAGCAGCACAGAGATGCACTGCTGTGCGCACAACCCAAACCCAACTTTGTGCTGACTTAGCCTGAGCTGGGATGCTAGCAGCATCTAAAAGGTGAAAGGGCCGGAGCAGCCAGAGGGATGCACTCCCCTCCCTGTTACACCACAGTAAGATGTACAAAATACAGAAGTAAGCAGGCACTGCAAGAGTGGAAGGGCCATTTGCAGGGCCCCACGCGGCTTTGCTGGCTGTGACTCAGCAGCATCTCCAGCCAGGAGCCCAGCTACTGCCTGCTCACTGCCCGGTGCTGTGCAGAGCACGACAGCCTTATAGGGATGTGCTCCAGAGCCAGCGACCTGCTCTGCACCTCCAAAGCCTGGGCTGCAATCCGAGCTTTGCTGTTGCTCAGGTTCCTCCATTCATGGAGGCATCAAACTTGGCTCCAAGGTGGGCTGTCGGCCAGCAGCTGCAGGCGCTGCAAAAGCAGCGGTGCCAGGATGGTGTCTGCACAAATGGTTGCACACACAAAGCGAGGTGGGTAAGAGCACACCCAGCTGTATTCCAGACCCTGAAAATATCCCTGAACCTCTTTTCGCTGAGTCCCTCTTCTCTCCAGCTGCCTTCTCACAGCCCATGGCAACTCTGTGGCTGAAAGATGAATTTTAAGCATAGCTTCTACCGTAAACCTCCCCTAGGCATTGCTGCTCCATGGGGAGTCGTGTGCTTACAACCGAGGCTGTGCTACTCAGGGCCAGCACATCCTGAAGAAAGGCCTGCAAAAATGAGTGAGAGAGAGCCAGCTCCACCTCTTCACCCTACAAAGCAGAGCTGCAACATGGGCCCCCAGGGCTGCAAACCCATGGGGCAGGAACTCAGGGCCAGCGCTGGCAGTGCCTGGGCTTGCTGCAGTTAGTGGGTTAATGGGGAGGAAATGACTGCTTCTCCTTTTGTGCACATCTGCTCCCACAGTCTGCAGCACAACAAACCTCACTGCCCCATTCCTGCATCCCCTGTTCTGCGAGTCCTCGCCATGCACAGAGGATCTGCAGCATTTCCCTTCCCTTGGAGCATGCTGCCAAGCCTTGCTCTGCTTTATAGATCCTTGGCAGGGAGGAAGGGTAGGTCCCCAAAAGCCAGCCATGAGCTCTCAAGGGATTTAAGCCACTCGAGCTCAATTTTGCTTTGCTAGAACTGAAAGATGGAACGGGAAGCTGGGGAAGATCTGTGCCCTGCTCACCTGTGCAGAGAAGTCGATCAGCTTTGGCAGTGGCTGCTTGTTGCCTTCCTCACTCTTCAGGAAGTCCAGCAGGCTCCCTGAAGGCAGAGCATGGCGCTCAGCCTGGCTGCAGCCCAACAACTCCCATGCTCACCCACCGGTGGCACAGGGCCCCTCCTGTCCCTATCTCTGTCCCCGCACCCCCCCCCAGCCCCACCTCCTGCTCCCCCATGTCCCACACCATGCAGGCCAGCAGCACCTTTCTCCATGAACTCGGTGATGATGAATATGGGCTCCTCCCTGGTGACCACAGCGTGCAGCCTCACCAGCTTGTCGTGCTGCAGGCCCTTCATGAGGTTTGCCTCCTCCAGGAAGGCACTCACAGACATGCTGCCGGGTTTCATTGTCTTCACTGCCACCTTGGTGTGCTTGTTGTAGGTTGCTGCCAGGATACCAGCCCCACTCATCATCGTCCCACCATCGTTCCACCACTTCTCCCACCCCTCACCTTTCTCCCTTTGCCACCCTCACTCTCACCCATCCACACTTCTCCAAACTGCCCGGCTCCCAGCTTCTTCTCCAGCTTCAGTGACTCCCGAGGAATTTCCCAGGCATCTTTCTCCCAGGGCTTCTGGGGTCTGGGCACACTGCAGGGGTAGGTGAGCCTCTGGCACAGCCCATCACTCTGCCCTGCCAGAGAGCAGCAAGCGCAGTCAGCCAGGCTCCATGATCTGTGGCTGTGGGGCATCAGCTGGTGTCAAACACCATTACTGCAGCATAGCACAGCAGAGCATTACCATGCAGCATGGCAGAGCCAGAGCACCAGCATGGGGACAGGCAATTCCCAGGCCCTGTGAGCATTTGGTGCCACCAACACCCCTGCCAGGCATTGCGGGGGGACACAGAGTGGCCAAGGTCTCAGTGGAAGCAATGTGCCAGGGCTCACCCTTGTAGTGCTCCACCAGCTCCTGCAGTGTGTCAAAACTGCTGCGTGAGGAGATGTAGAAGCCACCACTATCCAGTGTCCGGATCCTGTAGTGCTTGATGCTGCCTCCCTGCAGGCCGTCCACATCCCGCACCGACAAGGAGTAGCAACCTGCTCAGAGATGGATGAGCTGTGCCATGGGGCAGCGTCCCTTGGCTCCTGGCTAAGTCACCAGCATGGCATCACCCTGCCTGGCCCCAGCACAGCCCCAGGCAGCAATGGCAGCCCCATGGGGGCACATCCCCTGTCTCCTCATGGGGTTCAGGGCAGCATTGTGGGCTCATGCAGAGATGCTTGCAGCAGCATGGTGGAGTCCAGCTCTTGCCTGGCAGCAAATCAGAGCCCCTAGGGTGTATTGAGCCTCTCTCCTGGTCAGGTATGCAGAAGGGAGGCCCTTCTGGAGCTGCCTCACCCCCCTGGTACCTTTGGTCGTCTCACTGTCCCGAATCATGAAGGATCCCAATGTGTTCCCGGGGCTGAGCAGCTGCCGCTCCGCATCCTTCCTGCTGATACCCTTGAAGAACCACCTGCAGCAGGAACAGAGTAAGCAACGACCGCTGCTGGGAGCCAGGAAGCCAAGGCCGGCACAGGCTGGGGCTATTAGCCCTGGCACGGTGGGGACACGGGGTGTGACTGGAGATGACTGCAGTGGGACTCTCACTCTTCCACCTCCAGTGAGTTAGCTCGGGCGACGAAGTTGCTGGGGATGAAGCCCTTGCGCCCTGTCACCAGCGACCGTGCCTGCCACCACTCTCCCAGCCTGAGGACACAGACAGCCACGGGTCAGCACAGGGCACTGCCAGCACCCATGAGCCATAGGGACAGCCCTGGGCAGGGGACACGTACTGCTCCAGGACCTGCAGCTGCTCCCCTTTCTGGAAGCTCAGGTCCCCAGAGTGCATCGCCTCATAGTCATACAGTGCCAGCACCACGTTGTCCCCTGAGCCTGCAGTGAGAGTGGCTCTTGTGTGCCTGTCCCCATGTTGGGACCACGCACCACACACCCACGTGTCCCTGCTGCCAGGAAGCACAGAACTCCCACACCACCAGGTTTGGTTCCAGTGAGGACCCCACTGTGCTCCCCATCACTGTGTGTACGCACCATCCGCCAGCAGGGGCACAGACACTCCGTGTTCATCGTGCTGCAAATGGAACAACAAACAGGAGAGTGTAACGATGGCACACAATGGGATCTGTGGGGGTCTTGGACACTCGTCCAGTTTGCCCAGCACTGGCAGAGCGTCTCCTTCCTCAGCACCTTCATCTCTGACTGTCCACATTCCTTTATTCTCACCAACGTGGGCTGGGACAGACCTTGCACTCCCATCTCAGTTCCCACCCCAGCCCTGTGCCTGCTGCCACCCAGGTGGCTCCATGTCCCCTGTGCCCCCCAGGGCACTGCAGCTCCCACTTACTTGCTTGCTGCCAGATGCTGGGTCCTTCTTATCATGGCCCAACTGCATCTTCTCTTGGATGCTGTCTTCCTTTGACTTCATGCAACCCATCCTGTGTGTGTGTGAGGAAGGCATGGGGGGGGGGGAGGGGGGAAGGGGGAGAAGTTGCAACAGCACCAAAAGCCCCACACCCACAGTTCCCACTCCAGCACAGCTTGGTGTCCACAGCCCTGCTCACACCAACAGGTTGGGCTCCACAAAAGCAAAAGCCAGACTCTGCCCCAAAGAAATGTCAGTAGGAAAATGTGCTGCCAGCAGCAGTGGTGCAGGGAAAGCCCCCAAAAGGCACTTCCCTCTCTCCGACAGAGACCTCAGCCCAGGGAAAGGAGAAGAGTGCAGCGAAGGAGGAAGCAAAGGGCTGTGGCACTGTGGGGGACATGCATAGCACCACCTCAGTCCCACGGTCCTCGAGAGACTATCACTGCCACCTCCCAGCCGCGTCACCTTCACTCCTGGTCCTTTACAGCAAGCCAGAGCCTTTGCCCACCGTGCTCTCCAGCAGAGCAGATGTGTCTGAGCACCTCACAGTCACCAAGTCTCCACGTCTTGAGGCACTGTCCCATGCAGTGACCTGGTAGCATTGGGGATCCCCTGGTGCACCTCATGTTCTGCAGCTCCTGTGGCTGAGCCCAAATGTGGGGAGAGGAAGCGACACCACAGCATCACCTCCTCCTTCCCAGCACCCCAGCATCCATTTCATTGGCATTGCCCCCCTGCCATCCCCAGACTTCGGTTCCCATCCAGGGGCCACCACACCTAGCAGGGACAGGACAGGGGCCGAATCCAGCACAGGGCAGCACTGCAGCAGCTCTGCTGTCTCAGGCAGGGAAGGCGAAGGGCAGCCCTTTACCGGGGGCTCTGAGTCCCACTGACCTCGCTGCCCTGGGGGCTCTTCTCTCACCTTGGCTGCTGTCACGGTCCCGGTCCCCGTCCAAAGCCAAATCCACTGCTGCTGCCACCATATCGAGTTCGGTGGGTGTTGCCTCCTGTCCCGGTGTGGCTCCGCCCCTCTCCGGTACGACACTCCCTGTCCCAGCCCTCAGTGACATCCCGGTCCTCAGCCCCGACCAGGGCTGCTCGGGACAGGGAGCCATTCCTTCACCCGCCACGGGACGAGAGCAGCAAGGATGGGGTACAGGATGGGACCAGAGCATTGTCACTTCCCATCGGTTCTGTGCCCCCAGGAGAAGTAAAGAGAAAACCCGAATGCCTCACTTGCACAAGGATTTGCATACATCATTTTTAGGGAAGTAACTTGCTGCGGGCAGCCCTCACGCTGCCTGCCCAGGTGCTGCCCCCTGCTCGGGGCTGTGGGGCTCCTGGGGGCTTTGCTTAGTCCAGGAACAGCCATCCCCACCACTCCCCATCCTGGAGGAAGGCAAACACTTCACTGCAGTGCATCCAGACCCCCAGCACAGGGAGGCTGTGGCTGCCACCCTCCCATCCCAGCACAGCCACACTGACCCCACTTTGCTATGAGAGCACCCTCCTGTGCCAGCCCAGCTCGTCATAGCACTGTGGTGGGTGGTTGTCCCATCTGTGAGCTGCCCCTGTGCCCCAGCTCACCCCCTGCCCAACACATTCCCTTTGCACCGAGGAAGAACCTGCTCCAATCCCCATCTTGGTCATTTAATTGCAATCTGCAAAAATTACAGCACTTGGCACCACTGGTGGGGGCTCCCCTGAACCGACACCGCCCTGAAATGCCATCAGCCCAGCCAAGAGGAGAGCCCTGTCCCTTCCGTGGTGAAGGAGGCACAGATCACAGGTAGTTGTCCTCCTCCTCTTCCTCCTCCTCATCCCGTGCCAGTGCCTCGATGTCATTTGTGATGTTGGTGATCATGCGGTTGAAGGACTCGGACTCAGAGCGCAGGGACCAGCTGTCGTAGCTGCGCACAGCAGAGGCCGACGTGTTGCTCATGCTGCGCTTGATGCGGCCGAAGCTGTCGGTGAGGATGCCGCCCTCCCGGATGCCGATGCTCTCCAGGAAGGTCTCGAAGTACCCAATGTCTTGATCGGGGATGAAGGGCCTCATCCCTGGGACAAGTGCCACAAAATTTCGTGGTGTGACCGTGCCAACCCCATCTGGGGGCAGCGGGGTCCCACCAGCCCCTTGCTGCACACCCAAGACCCCGTCCCCAAGGATGCACGGATGGTGTAGCACAGACCGATCGCTCAGGGCTGCCCCAATCCCTGGAGCACTCACCCAGCAGGAGGAACTTTCTCCGGTCCCCGTAGAGGCGTAGGAGCTCTGTGCAGTACTCCTGCACCGGAGTGCCCAGCCGGTACTCGCGGAGCATCAGGGCAAACTGCTGGATCTCCTGGGGCGACAGCTTGTTGCGCAGCTGGGGGGAAACAGAGATGGGTCGGGGCTGGGGGCGGAGGTGCTGGAAAGGAGTGGGATCCCCTACCAGCCCCCAGCCCTCACCGTCACCATGTAGTCCTGCAGCTGCTCCAGCCCCACGCTGCTCTGGTCGCTGCCGCTGCAGGCGGTGGCCAGGCTGTGGTGGGACTGGTGGAAGGAGGGCGAGGATGTCCCGCTATAATAGGCCTCAAATGTCTCGTGGGAACCATTGCTGCTGGAGGACAGGGCAGGAGGGGGTCAGTGGGTGCTGGCACTGCTCTTGCACAGCACCCATCAGGCAGGGCAGTGAGGATGTGCACCTGCCCCAGAGCTGGGAACTCACAAGGAGCTGCAGCAGCTGTAGTCAGCATCGTAGCCATACGTCCCATCTGTGCGGCAGCTCTCACCTGGGGAGGGAAAGCTGAGCTCAGAGAACCAGGGTGTGAGCCCCGACGCTGTGCTCACGCCCTTCAGCCCCGTGTCACCACACTTAAGGCTCTCACACCCGCCTCCATCCACTCACTTCTGCTGGAGAGCCAGGGCCGTGTGGGTGTGGAGGTGTAGTGGTACCCGGCACGGTCCACACACTCGATGCTCTGATCACCGTAGATGATCTGGAAGACCTGGCAGATGAGCGCGCAGGACTCCTCGGCCGCATCCTGCAGAGGACCAGAGGGGATGGGGAGGTGGGCACATGCCGGGAAGGGAACCCAGTGCCGGGAACCCGCGGGTGCTCACCCTGTTCGGCACAGCGAGGATGACGAGGTTGGAATACGCGTCAGGGCACGGCTCCTGGGGGTCCAGCGGGTTGCCACCGGGGTGCCGTCTCTCCCAGCTGCCGAAACCGGTGCCGCGCTCCCAGCTTCCACCCGCCGTGCCAATCCGCCGCCGCTCCCAGCTGCCGCCGCACGGCTGCCTCCTCTCCCAGCTGCCCGACGGCCGCCCGCGCTGCCGCCGTTCCCAGCTGCCGCCCCTCCGCCGCTCCAGGCTGCCGCCCTGCCGGCCCTCCTGCCCGCCCCGAGCCGCACGCCAGTCCAGGCTGCAGATGGTGTGCCGCCGCTCCATCGCACCTCCCAGCCGCCCCGGCTCCGGCCAAGAGCTCCCCGAGCGCTTCTCAGTCGGGGGCACCTCCGGCACCGGGGCCGCTTCGGGGTATGCGCCAGCGGGGACTGGGTCCACTCCCAGGCCTGGAGGCAGCGAGGAGGGTCGGGGCATCAGACTGGGGTCGCCAGCTCTCACACCTGCCCCATCTCACTGACTGGGCGAGCTTAGGAATGCACCCCATACCCAGCCTGGGGCTCAGCCCCCTCCCCAGGAGCCTGGCTGTGGCTTGCTGCTGAGCGTGGTTTTGCTGAGCACCAGAGCCCCTGTTCCCTCATCTGGGCTGGATGCAGTGGGGGGTGGGGGGCACTTCCTGCATTCTCTCCTGCTGCCATTAAGTGCAGCTGGGGCCGGGGGAACAGCTGGGAGCTGTATGCAGGAGCAACGGGAGCAGTGAGTGGGCAGCTGCTGCACGTGGTGATGCCCTGTCAGAAGATGGAGCCGGCTCCTCCCCATCGCATCAGGGTGCCAGGTGCTTGGAGCCAGCTGTATTGCAGTGGGGTGCCTGCACCTGTTTTGAGGATGAGGAGGTGCAGGGCATCGTCACGCAGGTAGGAGGCTGCGGCGATCTCATGTGTGGGGATGCGCAGGATCAGCTCCTCGTTGTCACGCCAGGTGAGCAGCAGGCAGCGGGCAGACAGGCTCAGGATGCTGTCCTGCTCCGGGGTCGTCTGCAGAGGCAGCTCCTTCAGCTGCTGCAAGCAGAGAACATTCTGGGGTGTGGGGACTTGATGCTACTGTGGGGTAGCACTGTGGGATGACAAATGGAATGTTGGGCGCTCCCTTACCCTGGCAGTGTCCAGCAGCTGCAGCACCTCATCCCGGCTGGAGGGGTTCAGCGAGGCTGTTACCCAGGTCAGGTGGCCCAAAAACTGGGGGGACAAAGCCTGGGGTACTTTTGGGATGGAAAATCATCCCCCCTGGGATGCAAGGGGAACACAACGCAGGGCCATGGGGAGCGCACCTGCCCCCCCACCCCCCCCCGCACCCAGTCTCTGGACAGAAGGGGACCAGAAGCACTCCCAGCCCTGCAGGTAACCCCCTGCTTTACCTTCACCTCCTTCTCCACATAGTCATGCAGCAGGATCTGGGGGTCGATCAGGTAGTCGGGGGGGTACAGTGGCACTGAGTGCAGCGGCCGCCGGTAGACACTGCTGCGGAGAGCTGCCCTCCGTGCAGCCTTGGGGAACACCAGGCGCCGGATGGGCGACACGAAGCCCTGCGGGGTTTGGGCACACATCAGCACAGCTCCTCCCTGCTGGATCCCCCTGAAACCTGGGGGGCTCAGCCCCAGCACCGAGGAGAGCCCCCAGCTCCCAACCCTCATCCCGGCACCCCAAGACCCAAGGAGCCATGGCCCCAGAACGCACACACCTTCTTCCCTTTCTTGGTCTCGCAGTCCATGGCGCTGCTGCCGTCCTTTCTGTCCAACGCCTTTGTTGTTTTCCTGTCGGAAACTCCACCAGAATGGCTCGGATGTGAGTTCCTGCCCCTCTGCGGGTGCTGGGCTGGACTGGGCTGGGAATGGGACTGACAGTGGAACTGGAGTTTGTTTGGGCTGGGCCTGAGACCAGAACTGATATGGGATTGGGACTGAGCTGGGACTGGCGCTGGAACTGGGACTGAGACTGGGACTGGGAGCAGAACTGGTACGAGACTGGGATGGAGCTGAGACTGGGATTGGTACAAGACAGTGACTGTGGGTGGTATGGAGCTGGGACTGGGTCTGGACCAGAACAAGAGCTGGGGTGCCTGTGCACTATGCAGCAGATCAGCCCCTTCCCCTCACTACCACGGGGATCCCAAGGACCCCTGTCTGCCCCCATCCTGGCAATGGAGGAGGACTCCACCTCGAGGCCACACAGCAGTGCCCAAAGCTCTCGGACCCTAGGGCAGCCCATGGACCCCTGCTTTGGGACTGGGGGTCAGATGGTGAATAGGGCCCCCCGGCATGGAGGAGGTTGGACTGGGATCGCTGGCAACGGGGCTGTGTCCAGCAGTTTCCTCCCCAGCACATCACATCCTGCCCACACACCCCTTCCCTGCCAGAGGCAGCGGGGCTGAGGGCTCCAAGCAGGTGGCTCATCCACAGCTGTTCCCAAATGTCCCCAGCATCCTGGGAGCTCCACTTCAAGGCCCTGAGCCTGGCAACATGGGGGGGACTGGGGAGAGCCGGAGGAGCCAGCAAGGAAAAGGCTCTGGCAGGCAGTGCTTATTGAAATGAATTTAATATCTCATGTTGCAGCAAAATTAAAAATATACAAAAAGTTTGTGGTATACAAAAAAGTCTCGGTCAGACCCCGGTCTCTCGCTCATCCCCTGCCCCTGCCAAGGGTCCCAGAGAAGAAGGTGGCACACAGAGTATTTACAGTACATGACAGCCGGGCTCCCAGGTCCCAAGCACCAGGGGGGGACGTGGCTGAGACCCTCAGTCCCTGCTGGGGAGAAACAGCCCCAGCCCAGAGCAGCGGGGCCTGGTCCTGGTCCGAGCTGCATCCCCCATTCCCTGAACTTGGGGTGGTCCCGCTGTCCCCGCCAGGACTGAGGCCTCTCAGAGCTTCCTCTTTCCCAGCTCAGCCTCAGCTCGAGCCCCTCTTGGTGCGATCCCAGCAAGTGCTGCTGTCCTGACACTGCTGCCATCATCACTGCTGCCAGCCGGGCTTGATTCCCCTGGCACTGCCCCTGGAGCAGGGCTGGGGAGCCACCAGGCTCAGGGGCCATGAGGACAAAGCAATGGAGTGGCCACGTGCCATCCCACACAGCCCCACACCGCAGCCTCTGCCCTGATCCCAACATGGGAGCAGCCCGGGTCTGAGGGTACCGTGGCATGAGTGCATAGAAAAGAGTCCCTATGACCTGTGCCCCCGGGAAGGGCACGGGCTGCACCTCAGCCCAGGTGGCATGGCTCCACATGGCAGTCACGGGCAGAGGGCTGCAGCATCCAGCACCAGCATGGCACTGGTGTGGCACCAGCACAGCAACTCCTTGGTGGCTGGGAGGCTCCAAGCTGCTGGCACCCAGCTGCTCCATGCCCAGCTGGCTCCCATCTTCCATTACACTTCCCTGAGGATAAGGGCTGCCTCCTCTGCTGG